ATTAATTAAAATTTATTTAATTATAATAAATTAACATTTTTATAAAGTTTAGTAAAAAAAAAAAATGTCGTGAGATAGCAACCTAGAAGCCACCTATATTTGTTTGTTTTTTTTTTTTTCATTAATGTATATGAGTGAATGCAAAAGTTAACATTAATTTCAATACAAATGTTCTGTATGCGATTTTAGTTGAATAGTTGATAAATTAAAATTAATATTTATTTTTTTATAACAATTAATAATAAAAAAATATTATAAATATACGTATCTTTAACATATACTTTAAGAATATATATTAAATAAACTCTTCTTTTTTTTTCTTGTTAAGATGGAAATTTACATTCAATTTATCCTGACAAAAAAACATGACTGGTTTAGCCATTCTTTTTAATTTTTTTTCTTTTATCCCGAACAGTTTGTTATGGTGATACTGAAAGGATCAGTGCCAATATCGTTCAATGGAAACAAAGAGGGAGCTGCGTACGCTGAGATTGTATCAATGGGAGGCATTAATACAGAGGTAAAAAGGAAGCTGATTGCCACACTCGGTTCCATAATGCAAGATAAGCTCTCAATCCCGAAGGCAAGATTTTTTCTTAAAGTCTTTGACACAACTGCAACCGCAGCACGACCTATCTCCAAGATGTAATCAAACTTAATTATGAACAGCTCCAAGATTATTGTGATATGATCAATGATTATTAATGATTTCTTTTTTTAAATAAGATTAGCTTTTATTATTATTATTATTTTTTTTTTACGTGTAAGTCTAGACGTATGTGTCATGTTTGATAATTTTGAATACCAAGTTGATAATAAGAAAAAGGATCATTATTAAAAAATGCATTTCATCAACCTATTAGAGTTTGAACTCTTGTAAAAATAATTATTGAAAGTTTTAATCAATCAACATTTCCCAACTATAATTATTGACTTTGGAGTTGTGTGGTTCTATCCCTATACCTTTCATACTGTAAAAAAAATAAAAAAATTAACATGTCTCATCAAAAAATACACGTCAAGCAATTTGATAAGATTAGCTTTTAAAAGAAATTAAAAGTATACATTAAGGAATCTGATAAGATTAGCTTTTAAGAAAAAGTTAAAGTATACATCAGGGAAATTGACATTTTATATGTAGGATGCTTATTCAATTTTAGTAAATTTAGTTTTTTCAAAAAATAAAATAATAATGTAATAATTAATTAATAAATTTTTATATTTATTCATGATTAATTACTACTTAAATAAATTATCTTATTTAATATATATTATAATTGTTTTTAAAAATAAAAATAATATATTAAATAACATCTAATTAAAAAATAAACAATTAATTTTAAAGAACTCAAATTAAAAATTAAGTTTATTATTAAAGTGGATTGAACTGAGTTCTTAAAAGTCTGTCAGGGAATCTAATAAGATGAACTTAAAAAAAAAAAAATTAGAGTACACATTAGGGAAACTTACTTCATCTGCAATTTGATATTGAAGTCTCTTTAAAATAAAATGAGGTCTTTTTATTATTGGCTTGGAATTGATGTATTTCTTAATGATGTATACTCATAATTTATGATAATACTATAAGTAGAATGCATTTTTTATACTCATTTTATTTTAAAATAATATTATTAATTATTTTTTCAGCTTTTTTTTTAATTTTAATAATTTTAAAAATTATGTTTTCACACAAATATCACCATAAAAGATAATACATAAAAAAAATTATAATTTTAAGACATAAAGAATAATATTTGTGTAATAATATGATATAACATTAAATTGATAAATACATATTAATTCAAGGTAACTTTAAATATTTTTTAATTATAAATATCATATCATATTGTACAAACATTGAACAAATAGTATTTTCACAAAAATAATGTGAGTTATGACTTATGAGTGTTGAGTCTAACTAATGATCTAAGTAACTCAATTGTTATCTTTTCTTACTAAAAATAAGGATTTATAAGTTTGAATCATATAGCATATGAGTGGGGTAAGATAAAGGATAATAGATGATTGCCTTCCATTTTGCAACCGAGGTAAAAAAGAAAAAAAGAAAAAAATGTTGAGTCTGAGACATTGGGCATCCCTGCAATGAGAAAAGCCTCAAAAAGAGACTTAGTGGGCCACATAGGTTGGGCACATTAAAGCGAAATTGGGCCTTTCCTTTTTTCCCAGAAGAACAAGGCCGAGGGGGCCGAAGCCCAAGTGGTTGGTAAGGGGGCTTTTTGGGTATTTGAGTGATTGTCTTTCTGCTTCCGTTGATTTACAAGATTAGGGATAGAGAGCGGTTGAGGAGTTGAAAAGCAGTGAGGTTTGTGGTTGTACCAGTTGCAGAAGAGAGAGCAAAGATGCCGTGCTTGAACCTTTCCACCAACGTCAGCCTGGACGGCGTGGACACCTCCTCGATCCTCTCGGAGGCAACCACCACCGTCGCCAAGATCATCGGCAAGCCGGAGTCCGTACGTTCTCTCTCTCTCTCTTTCTCTTTCTCTCTTATCTGTGTTTGCATTTCTCTGCACTTTTTTATCAGTTTTTGAATGCTGAGTTTCTTCATGAAAATCTCAAGATCGATGCCTCTGATTTTACCCTTTCTTTGTTAGATAGTTATGAAGGACTCTGTGATTATGGCTGTGAATTTAATCTGTAAAAGAATGGAATCGGGATTTTTTTTCTTTTTTTGGGGGTTAGCGTAAGGCCGTCTCAGATTCACTTTCACTTGCCTGTTACGAAACTTTTTTATTTTACTCTTTGTTTGGCTTAGATGGTTGTTTGTGATAGATAAGTAGCAACTTTTTCTGCATAAAGGGTGGAGTGGGTAGAATGAACAATATTGGACTAACTCCATTTTATCCATATTTACTAGGGGTTTAGCATTTTAAATGCCAAGAGTGCCTCTGAAATTGTTCAATACACTTAATGTATCTTGTGTATTCTTGACATTTTAATTGCCAAGACATCTTGATTTTCCGCAATTCCCTTACTAGATCCCACTTTGGTGAACGGTGTTTAAAATATTTTTCTCCAATAGAAATTGAGGTGGCTAAAAATCCTTTTTTCTTTTTACTCTTATAAGAATGGGGAATGAGTTTTCTAGAGCTTTGCATCATCAGCCGTCAGCTATGTAGTGGGAGGAATATGATCTTGGTTGATTGGTTAAGTACTTGTTCTTCTTGATTTATTGTTATCTTATGAATTTGTGACCTTGGTTTAAATGCAGAAATGTTATGGTGTTTGTTAACAAGCTAGAAGGAGTATAAGTACTGGCACTGTTGTTGGTTTTCCTTTTATGATGTGTAGCCTTACTATTTTGAGTTTGCAGTACGTGATGGTTGTGTTGAAGGGATCAGTGCCCATGGCATTTGGGGGAACTGAGCAGCCAGCAGCCTATGGTGAGTTGGTATCCATTGGTGGTCTTAACCCTGATGTGAACAAGAAGCTGAGTGCTGCGATTGCTGCAATTCTAGAAACCAAGCTTTCAGTGCCCAAGTCACGATACTTCCTCAAGTTCTATGACACTAAGGCAAGATATCATATCTTTCTTAATTATCCTCCCGAAAGATGGGCCATTGTCATCCACTTGTCTCATCTTATTGCATTGTTCCCGTTTGTTTAGGCACATCAAAGCCAAGAATATGCACAGTGTTTGCATGCTTTACACCAGCAGTAGATAATGTAAATAAATCTTTACTATTTTACACTCTGAACATTGCCCTCATTGGCTTTATTAAGAATTTCCAGTTTATATGCCTTTTATGACCATGTTAGTCATGTCACAGGACTTGCTACCATTCAAATGGTAATGATGCTTCTTTCTTTGTGCAGGGTTCCAACTTTGGATGGAACGGATCCACCTTCTGAGCTCCTCACCTTGATGCTGTGTGATCATATCTGTATGGTGGATTGGAACAAAAAAAACTTTGTAATGCTTGGCATAGATAGGGTACCATGTCGTTTTATCTATGTAATCGCGAGATTATAACTCTAAATGCCTACTAAAATGGCCTGGAACATCATGTTTGCTCGGCCCCTTGCTGGTTTTGTGATGAATATTATGGTAATGCATGATTCAGCTTTGGTTGTAAAATCATCCCATGTTGGTTCTTAGCTGTTTGCAGTCCATCTAAACGTTTGAGAAAAAAAAAAAAAAAGAAAAGAAGGGAAAGAAGAAGAAGAAGAAAAAGGAAAAAACCCTATTTGGGCCTTTGGTCCTTGCTTCTGTTTTTGACCGTTTCGGTAACGCAAGACACATACCAAGATTTGTTATTTTTAATTAAGAAATGTCAGATCTACATGCCTCCCCCAGTCATCGACGGCGATCCTTAAGTAAGAAGGAAAAACAAAGCCCGGCGAAACGTCCTTCTCTTCTCCTACGAGATCTACTTTTCTCTCCCCCTCCCCCTGTCTTGTCCCTACGCTAATTTCTCCTTATTTTCGTGTTTCTCTTCTCCCCTCTCAGCCAAACAGCACTTCTCGAGATCTACCCAACCTCTTCCACCATGACATCCTCGGCTCCTCCCGTACTCCCCATCTCCAACGCTCAGCCCACCGAATCTCAGGCGGCGGTCGCCACCCCCGCCTTCCGCCTGTTCATCACCAACATCTCCGAATCCCTCAAGAACGGCTTCTCCCAGCGCCGCCCCTGGGCAGAACTCGCCGACCGTTCCGCCTTTTCCAAACCTGAGTCCTTCTCTGAGGCCGCTATTCGTGTCCGCAAGAATTATTCCTATTTCCGAGTCAACTATTTGGCGGTCGTTGGTCTGATCCTTGCTTTTTCACTGATTACGAATCCGATGTCCCTTCTCCTCCTGCTTGGCCTTCTCGCATCCTGGATCTTCCTCTACCTATTCCGCCCGTCTGATCAGCCACTTGTTCTTTTTGGCCGGACCTTCTCCGATCGCGAGACACTTGGACTCCTCATCATTTTCAGCATCTTTGTTGTCTTCCTCACCAGTGTCGGCAGCATTCTCATCTCAGCTCTATTGATTGGATCTGGTCTCGTCTGCGCTCATGCTGCCTTCAGGGTCCCCGAGGATCTCTTCCTGGATGAACAAGAACCAGCGGCCTCCACCGGTTTCTTGTCCTTCCTCGGAGGTGCTGCTTCCAACGTTGCTGCTGTAGCTCCTGTTGTTGCCGCACGCGTTTGAATGTGATCCATAGATCAAAGGTAGTTCCCTCGTATAATTCATTGTCGAATTAATTGACTAAAGGTTTAGATCTTCGGTAGACAATAAAATTTTCGGATTGGAACTTTTGGGGGATATTATAGAGTGCGGTTAATATTGTTGAAATTTATATGAATCTGAATTTTTTCATTTACGTACGCTGTGGATCTATCATCTATGAATATATTCTTCTCTTAAATCATACAATTTGTAATTTCATTTACGAACACTTATATACTATCATTGTAAAAATCTTCTCTTTGTTTCCTTAACTGCGCATTTGTGAATGAATCTCTTATCTGTTATGGGATTATAATCTTAGATCTGTTAATTGTTATATGCATATGTTATCCATGATTTGATTTCTCTCTTTAGATCTTTAAGAACCAGATGCTTCCAGCCTTCCACACATTTTGCAGCGTCGTTCTTGTTAATTGATTTATATTGTTGTGTTGACGCTGTATCTGAATTGCGGCTATTTGTTCATCAGTGTGTTTGAGTAGCAATTTTGATTTTGGCTATTGGGTGTTGTCAGTTCTTCTCTGCTGATTGGAATTTGATCTTATGTAAATCTGTCATGGATCATGAATTCTATTGTAGATATCATTTTTTCCTATGTTCTCAGTTATCAAATGATGCATCTCTTGTTAAATTAGGTGTATTAGTTATTGAATGATATGCAAGTACTAATAATGATATTTGGTATTCCCATTTCCACTTTCCTCTTGTTCAATATTAATGGTTACTACTATAGTTCTGATCTGTATCAGATGGATGTGTATTTTCAAGTTTGATCAGTTTAAATGACAGAAAATCTAGCACTTGAAGATTGGGAACTTCATTTAGTACCTTTCTGAGGTTGATTATGCTAATGTAAGCTTTTGAAGCTTAAGAATAGCACCGGCCCAGAGGTGAAATAGTACTGAGATCCATGAATTTGTCTTGGGTTTTTTTTTTTTTTTCTTTCTCTAGTTAATTGGTGCAAGGTATTCATTTCTACTTGAATTAGTAGCCAATAAAAGCTTGCCATGAAGTAGTCATAGCTGCTGTTCTTGCATTAAATGTCATCAATCATTCAAACCGAGTAGGGGTCGCTCAATTTCTTGCTTTTTAGTATAGTCCCATCTCCCTGATATAATGTAATTTTGGAATACGATATGATCTACCTTGATTAGGCTTCTTGCTTGATCTTCCACCACGAGCAAATGGATTTGTGATTTATTTTTCATCCTCTAAAATGAAGATATGCATTTGTCGTTTGGCCCTAGAAGATACCTAAATCTGAAATAGGTCTCTCTGTTAAATCAACTGCACTCAACTTTTGGGGATGTTTTATGCAATTCATGTATAGCTAACAAAACCACTACGGATAAGATTCTATAACATCGAACCTAGCAAAAGCAAATCTAATAACAAATGCTATTATTTGTTTATTTTGTACATTAAATGATGGGTTATAAAACAAGAGATAAGATCTCTAATATTGAGACTTAAGCTTTTAACAAATGCTATTATTTGTCACTAGCAACCGTTACAACCAAGCGACAAACCAATTTAAGGGTCAAGACCCGATGTTTCGCAATAGGTACCCACCAACTTCTTAATAATAGAAAGCAGACTTCTGGCGAGGCCGGTTTGCTTGTATTTAGCCCACTGAAATAAACAACGGAAAGAAAGACCCACCGCCCACGGCCGTGCAGCAAATTAATTTAGGACCCATGACCTAGAGACTATGGTTTTCAGGGACTGGGACACCGTGAAATATAGCCGTTGGGGTAAAACGACCTTGCCTTTAATTAAGAAGACCCGGCTTCGATTCCTACCGGAAACCAGCCAAAAGTAAAACTAGCCGTTGTGAGTTAGTATCAGCTAAGTCCCAGCAGACACCCTCTGCCGATTCCTACTGACTCTGTCTCTACCAAGACTAGGATTCCCTTCCCTCTTCTCCTCACTCCCTTCTTATTTAGCTGCCTTTTCATCTCCATTTCTGCACTTTCTTCTGTACTACAACTGCAGCAATAAAAGGAACCAAGAGAAGATAAAAAGAAAAAAAGAGTGATACAAGCTACCTCTTCTCCTTCCTTCTTTCCTTCCTCCAAATTTTTGCTCTTACTCTTGTTCATGGAGGATACCAGTCACCTCCCCCATGAACGTAAACCACACCCACTACTTATTCCAGATAAAAAGCTGCGGAGCAAAAGTTCTTCCCTTTCTGGGTTAGGAACCAAATTCTTCCATTTTTCCTACTTGTTCTTGCTTCTTCTCACTTTTGCTTCTCAACTTGTTTCCGGTCAGAATGGGGGTGGGGTGATTGTCACCCAAGCTGATTACCAAGCTCTTTGTGCCATAAAGCATGACCTAATCGACTTTAGGAGAGTCCTGCGCAGCTGGAATGACAGTGGCTATGGAGCTTGCACTGGTGGATGGGCGGGAATCAAGTGCGTCAAGGGACAGGTCATCGCCATCCAGCTTCCTTGGAGGGGCTTAGGCGGCCGCATTTCGGAGAAGATTGGTCAGCTTCAAGCTCTTCGAAAACTCAGCTTCCACGACAATGTTCTTGCCGGTCCAGTGCCCTGGTCTCTCGGATTCCTCCCCAATCTCAGAGGGGTTTATCTCTTTAACAACCGGCTTTCGGGTTCCATCCCTCCTTCAATCGGTAACTGTCTCATTCTTCAAAGTCTTGATTTAAGTAACAATTCACTCACTGGTTCAATTCCTGCTAGTTTAGCCAACTCTACAAGGTTGTATAGACTCAATTTGAGCTACAATTCCTTATCCAGTACCATCCCAGTTAGTCTCACTCGGTCACCTTCTCTTACCATTCTTGCTCTGCAACATAACAATCTCTCTAGTTCTATCCCTGATTCTTGGGGGAAAAAGGTGAACAATTCTTACCAACTTCAGTTCTTGACCCTTGATCAGAATCACCTCACCGGAATGATTCCGGTGTCTTTGGGCAAGATGGGTTCGCTTGAGCAGGTTTCGTTGAGCAATAACCAGATTTCTGGAACCATTCCTGATGAATTAGGGAGGCTCTTGAATCTGCAGATGCTAGATCTGTCAAATAATGCTATCAGTGGAAGCTTACCCCCTAGTTTTTCCAACCTTTCCTCTCTAGTTTCTTTGAATTTAGAAGGAAATCGCCTTAGTAACCAAATCCCAGCAGCCATTGACAGAATGCAAAACCTTACTGTGCTCAACTTGAAAGATAATCAATTCAATGGCCAAATCCCAGCAACCATTGGTAACTTGTCTAACATCAACCAACTATATTTATCCGGCAACAATTTCACCGGAGGAATTCCTGATTCGCTTGTTAGACTTGCCAATCTCAGCCTTTTCAATGTTTCATACAACAATCTATCCGGTCCTGTTCCATCTCTCCTTGCCAAGAAGTTCAATTCAAGTTCTTTTGTGGGAAACCTTCAGCTTTGTGGCTACAGCTTTTCCACCTTATGTCCTTCTGCTCCTCCACCTCTCAATATCGGTCTTCCACCCCCACCAACTCAGTCTCAGGCACTCAACCATCATCATCATCATGATCGGAAACTCAGCCTTAAGGACATCATTCTCATAGGAGTTGGTGCCCTCTTTCTGGTTGGGTTAGTATTCTGCTGCATTTTGTTCTGCTGCTTGCTGAAGAAAAGGAAGTCCTTGAAACAAAGGGGTGGTAAAATGGGGGCTGCTCTAGGAAAAACAGAGACTGCAGCTCCACCAGCTGGAGGTGAAGTTGGATCAGGCGGTGAAATGGGTGGAAAGTTAGTCCTCTTTGATGGACCATTGGTCTTTACAACTGATGACTTGTTATGTGCCACTGCGGAGATAATGGGGAAGAGCACTTACGGTACATCGTATAAGGCAACTCTAGAGGATGGGAATCAAGTAGTTGCAGTGAAGAGGTTGAGGGAGAAGACTACAAAGGGACAGCGGGAATTTGAAACTGAAGCTTCTGCACTCGGAAATATTAGACACCCCAATCTGCTAGCACTTAGGGCCTACTACTTGGGACCCAAAGGAGAGAAGCTTCTTGTGTTTGATTACATGCCAAAAGGGAGCCTTGCATCTTTCCTTCATGGTAAGTTTGATTTCACTAATGAAAACAAAATTTTGGAATGTAGAGGTCGGGAGAGTTCTGTCTTAACAATGTTATATTCCTTGTGCAGCTCGAGGGTCTGAAAGGACCATTGATTGGCCAACAAGGATGAAGATTACCATAGGCATTGGACGTGGATTGGACTATCTCCACACCAAAGAAAACATCATCCATGGAAATCTCACCTCCAGCAACATACTTCTCGACGAGCAAACCAATGCTCACATTGCAGATTTTGGCCTCTCAAGGCTCATGACAGCCGCTGCCAGCTCTAATGTGATTGCCACTGCAGGAACACTTGGATACCGAGCTCCCGAGCTCTCAAAGCTCAAGGATGCCAACACAAAAACAGATGTCTACAGCCTCGGAGTCATCATACTAGAGCTTCTCACGGGGAAATCCCCTGGAGAGCCAACAAACGGCGTGGACTTACCCCAATGGGTGGCATCCATTGTGAAAGAGGAGTGGACTAATGAAGTCTTTGACTTGGAGCTCACTAAGGACACACAAACCATAGGAGATGAGTTACTTAACACATTAAAATTAGCTCTACATTGCGTTGATCCTGCACCGGAATCACGCCCTGAAGTTCAGCAGGTTCTGAAGGAACTAGAAGAGATTAATCCAGAGCTTGCGGCAGCTTTTGCTGAGGAAGGATCAAAAGCCCCACTTACAAATGAGTAGAGTATTTCATTAGAAGACAAGAATAAAGGGGTCTCATAAATAGGGCGATTTATAAGGTTACTAAAGTTACAATTAGCTAGGTGGTTCATAAATTCTTTAATTCTATTATTTTTATGTATATATATATATAGAGAGAGAGAGAGAGGGAGAAGCTTTTGTGGGTTTATTTAGAATTATTATTCTTTTTCCCTAAAGATCAATAATGTAATCTTTTGAATTATAAACAGTATAATATTGAATTTAGAATTTTGGGATTTTTAAAGGAGAATTGTTTTTCATTTATCTGTAGTTTTTTTTTTCCTTTGGAGAAAACATCATTTCCATTAATCATCTATAAGTATTATTACTAACACAAGTTGTTTTCTTTTTTTTTTTTGGCAATTGAGACTACACTAGATTTTAAAATAAAGATCATCAAATCAGAAGGTACTCTTAATTGAGGTTTATGTTGTATGGTGTATAGATTACACAATATTTTTTGAAAATTATATTTTACAATCTGCACTATACTGAATTGTAAAATATAAATTATTGAATAAAAAAAATCCGAATATCATGAAAATCCGATTTATATACAGTTGTTAATATAATTTAATTAGATATAGTTTAAACCATATTACTACACTTTTTAAAATTTTTTTGTTACTATTATTTTTTTACTATCAGCCAATAAAACTTCAAAGAAGCATGATATCAGTTAATCAGGGTGATTCCGGTTGCATGTAATTACCATTCTTTGCTTTGGGATGAAACGACGTCGGAGAATTCGAGCCACGTACAGTCGAACGGCAACGTTTTTGAAATTAAAAACTGGGCACGTCTTACTGGTATCGTCATCTCCTTCCTGCCTCAGTCGATCACTGCATCGTTCTCTCTGCAGCTCAGCTTTTCCACCATGAACGATCTTGCATTGCAGAAGATTGCAGTATCAGGTCCCACACTAGCCTCCATGATCGAGCGGATCAATTCCTCCCCTGGCGATACCGACGGCCTTCTCTTCGGCGATGTCGCCAGTATCACACCCACCACGCTGTCCGACGACCCTTCCCAAACTCACTCCGATTCGCTGCTTGTCGCTACTATCTCCGGCTTCCTTTGTTTCAATTCTCCTCTCTCCTTCTACGATTCAGCAGGCCGAGTTGATCCGACCCGAATCACCACTCATCTCAACCAAAAAACCCTCATCGGCTGGTTCTCCTCTCGCCGCAAAACCCCTCTCCGCCCCTCCATGCGTGAATTTTCCGTCACTTATTCTCTCTATTCCATCCCCAATTTATCCCTCCCCATCCAAAACCCTAATTTCAGTTTCAATTTCCGGCCTTCAATTTTTCTCCTTTTCACTACCCCTTTGCAAGACCAGTTAATCCACACAAACCAGTATCGCGCATACCAGTTTCTATCACCAAAACAGTGTTTTAATCCTGTTTCTATTGATATAGTGAACATTGGACCTGCGTTTAGGGGGCATTACGGATCTTTTAGCCCAAACTCTGCTCTGCCGTTTTTGAGCTGCGAGTTGAGGAACTCAACGGCGATGAATGAGGATAGAGCTGACAGCTATTTGAGTGGCATGAAGCAGGCAGCTAAGGATCAGGCAGAATTGGATATGTGCGCGGAGGGGATGGAGATTGGGAAGTTAAGCCAGTTGATGGGGCCACAGGCGGCGAATTATACTGCCGGGTTGGAGCAATTGTATGAGAAGATGCTAGCTAAGATTGAGAGCCTATCCAGGCTTGTCGAGGCCAGTTCTGCTAAGGTTCTTGAGCAGGTCTGTTTGTAGATAGTTTGGTACTGTTTTTATCCAAGATTTATGCGCATTTGGTTGCATCTTGCTTAGACATCACCAAATATGCTTAACATGATGGTGTCATTGCTATTTTTATGCTCAATGGGCGAAAAGTTGGTCTCTTTATGGATTTTGTCATGGAATTTGACATCTTTGAAATAGCACGAATGGCTTCTAAGGTGAGTGTTTTCCATTTGCAGGAAAATCAGAATAGGAAGTTGAGGTTGAAAGTTGCCAGGCCTACTGGAGCTGAATAACTGTTTCTTGCTATTTTACTAGTGTCAGGTAACTTTTATTTTTATTTTTTCTTTCTGGTTGCTCTTCACATGACTGCACTCTATATTGGATATTGATATATTCACCACTATCTTTTACCATTTTCTACGGCATGAATGTAGTGCAAATATAATAGTGGTTAACATAGAACCGCAATTGAAATTCTAGTTAGAAGCTGCTGTTAAGGTTTGAAATCACATGGAGTTAGAAATGTTGTTACTTTTGTTCTGCTAACCATTTAATTTATGGTGTAAAAATCCTATCTTTTTTTTTTTCTCCATTGCTTTTCATAAAAGTTGAACTGGTTATGCCAGTGATATAAGGGTTGAAATCTTTGATACTTGATGTTGAACTTTCTAATTATTTATCAGCTGTTATTACAGATCATTTTTGCAATTTTACACCTGTTGAATAAAAGTCAGTTTCCTCACTCCAAAAATGACTATCGTATTACAGTCTCTTGGTATGATAAAATTAATGTTTGGTTATTACCATTTTTGTTTGGATATTTATGGTATTACAGTCTCTCAGTATGTGAAAATTAATTTTTGAATTAAGTACTCGATGTTACCTCTGCATACTTCGATTTAGGTATAATTCGCCTTTCCCTGGCATCTGGGTGGCTCTAGATTCCACTTGGGTGAGCATAATGTATGCTATATCTGTGGCACTATGCCTGCTTTATGTCTGTGCCATGGATGGTGGGAGAATCTTCACTTCCTTTCATTTCATGAGTTATGATTCACAACATTCCTCAGATATCTAGAGATTTTTTTTTCTTCTTTTGGTATTTTAGCTTTAGAAGGTTGAAAAGCAAATTCAATAAGCTAGTGTAAGGTCTAGTCTCCTTGTTTCCTTCTATTTTTGGTGTATTTACTTTGTTTCATCTATCTGTCATGTGTGATGAAAATTCATATGCAAATGCAACAAATGTAAGAGCCTACTTAAAGGAAAATATGGTTCAGGTTCTATCAACATTTTGGAAAATTTTAAAAGTCTGATATGAGAATAATGTAAGAAAACTAGAGAAGTTGAAGGTATGCAGGATGTAATGACCTAGAGCCATAAGCGTAGAGGGTTATGTGTGTTTATATGCTTTATGAACTTCTTTCCTATGTTTATAAGCTAGATTTAATGACAAATTAAAATGAAAAACAATTCAATCTGCTAATATCTGTTCTGTTCTTCTTACTTATAGTTCCTTGGTTTTGTTCTTGATTCTTTGAAAACAGGGAAGGGCAGGGCAGGGCCTAATCTAGGAGACGAGATGCTATTCCGATGCCTTCTTGAGGTCAGATTCCTCTTTGTTGACCTTGTGCATGGGTTAGCTGATAAACAATGCAGCTGCTGCTGATGCCCTCGATCAGAAATGTTGTTCATCTGTTGGGGTTATGGTGGATTTGAAAGGTTGCATCTGTTTGGGTTATGTATACTTGCTATGTTATTAGCCCTTGTATATTGTTGAATTTCTCCTGCCTTTGCTCTTGAATTATTTGTTTTGTTAGAGACCCCAAAGCATGGATTTGTTGCAACACGGACATGTAATTAATTCGATACCTTCTCTTTTGAGAACATGCAGCTACGAGGAAGATGGCTGAAACTTTAAAAGGCCATTTTAGTTGGCCCATTGGGCTTCCTAGTGGCAGGCCATGGGCCCACAACTTCCAAGGCCTCACTCCTCATCATAAACATATAGAAAATTTCCATGATTATCTCAGAACATGGAAAAAAAAAAAAAAAAAAAAGACCTAAAATTA